AAATTACTAGAATGATTCATATAATTTTATAATAAACCGTAATTAAACATATAGCATATTATATATTTGTTTGGTATAACATTTAATATAATTACCATATAATGAAAATCATGATATATGGTATATTTCATGTTGTGTGTTAGTATGATATATATATGTTTAAAATTATAAATTAAGTTTCTGATATGTTAATTATCTTCAAACAATTTTAACAAAAACTACCTATATAAACGTGATATTAGAAATATTTCAAACTCAATAATAAATATTAGTTATAAATATAAGACTCAATTCAGTTATAAAACTCGATAACATACCATACAAAATGATATTAGAAATTTTTTGATTGCTTAAAACTATATCAGAAATTATAAAAAGGTAATTTAAAACTATATCATATATTTGGTCATTGACAGAGTAACATATAATGGTATGTTTTTATTTATTTATGACACGTTATATTGTCTGAAAATATATATACGTGTATATATTGTATGTTGAATTTGAGAATATATAGTATGTATGAAAATATAGTATGTTGAATTTGAAAAAGTTATGTACTGGTGAACAGTATAAAACAATACATCTTGATAGTTGTGTCATTTTCTCCATTTCAATTGGATGTATTATGACTCACTATGACACCATACATAGTCATTTGGTATGCTATCTGCTATATGCTTAATTAATGAATTGTTGAAGTCTATTTCTTATAATTTCCCTTATTAAAATGCAGAAGATAGATCAAAATTTTCTTCCATGTCAGTAGGGAATTATGAAAATCATTTACATTTTCTTAAGCCTTATTTATAGAAGAGATACAAATTTACAAAAGAGTAATTTACCACAACGAAAAGTTTCTTATTTAAACACGAGCCTCTTTAGGATACAGTTTCTTCACCTCTATGATCATCACAATTGCATAACTATTTATTTATGTAGATGTTTTTGTTACCTTCATTCATATGGGGTGGGAGAGGATGTTATCATTACATCATTCATTTGACTGATTACTACTTAATCTCTGGTCCTAATCCAGAGCAGAACAAAAACTGTTCATCTCCGTGATCGAAGGCTAATAACAATGACTGAAGCAGAAAAACAAACCTTTTCGTTTGTCTTCAGTTTTGGCCTTTGGAGTCTCCCCACATTCATCAACCTTAGCCATCAAAGAGCTAGTTCCTGGAGAATCCGGTGGCAGTAGTGCGTTCTTAGAAGCAAGAAGCCGATGTGGAATTGAACGTACCGGAGATCCGACCTTGGAAAGATAGCTAAGAAGTAACTGAATGATTTGAGTGAAGTTGGGCCGCGCATTAGGATCCTCATTCCAGCATGAAGTTACAATGTCGCCCAACTCCTCTGGTAAGTTCTCAGCGCTTGGCCTCACATTCTGTAAAAGAAATATGTCAAAAAAAAAAGAGAGAGTAATGTTTAGCAAAATATCAAACTCAAAAGAACCCAAAAGAAACCCCGGCAGTACTACACACTTTAAAGGCTGCTGCATATGCTGCTTGGAGATTCGACATTCCCTCAAAAGGCAATTTATTGTGTAGAAGCTCCCAGAGAACGATTGCAAAGCTATAAGCGTCGACTTTATGGTTGTAATGCTTCTTCTCTCCTAATCGAAGAGTAACCGTGCTGTACAACTGAAATATACAATATGATTGTCTTCAAGTAAGAGGAGAGCACAAGAAATTAACAGATTATTCAACAAAAAAAGAACCTCAGGTGCCATCCATCGGTATGTTCCTGTCTCAGCCGTCATCATCTCAGTCAGTGACTCTTCTCTTGCTAATCCAAAGTCTGCTAGTTTTACTGTTTTGTGGTCTGCCGTTAAAAGCAAGTTCTCTGTAGAGGAGAAGAAAAGATCGTAGATTAAATCTTATCATAACAAGAATATTAAAAGCACTTGAAGCGTGTGTAGTGTCAGATAAAAAAACAAGGAAAGATTCTTTGAGATTGAGATCTGAGCATGTGGTTTCCATGAACCAAGGTGTTTTGCAAATATTCTAAGCACAACATTAAATGATGGAGACAAATCTGTTTAAAGAGAAAGAGAATGGTGTTATTTACCGGGTTTAAGATCACGGTGAATGATCCCATGGGAATGCAAGCATTCCATGCCACGAGCAATGTCAAGCGCAAAACCGATGGCCACACGAGTCTCCAAACATGCAGGTCTCAAGTTTAACAGATATTTACGCAGTGTACCGCCTTGAAGAAGTTCGGTGACTATCACCATTACAGGCTCCTTGCAAGCACCAATGAACTGTTTAAGAGATAAAAGACAATGACTCATGTAAGCCATTAAAGAAAACACCTTAAGCACAAAGATAGCCATAGATCTCAAAAACTGAACCTTGACCAAATTCTTGTGCTGAACACGCGAAAGCATTTCTACTTCTCTTAAGAATCTTGAATCCCTCTTTGCAATCTCTTCTGGCGTTTCTCCTCTGTGAACTATCTTTATAGCAACTGTCTGATTCTTGTACCTATTCTCAGATCGTGGCGGCAAAGACAGTAGAGATCCATTAACAAAATCAACTGCTGAAGAATACCCAATTTCAATCTTTTTACAAAAGCAAATCCACAAAAAATGAGTCTACCAAACACTAAGCTTCACTGTCCCGCAAATAAAAATTCAAACTTTCCCAGTAATCTCACAAGCTAAGAGT